TAAGTAATGTAAGATGGGAGAGCGGAATAAAAATATCAAATATTTTAATGGATTTTTTAAAAATTCCTGTCAACTGTACAGAATTATCGTTAAAACATAACCCAACCGATAAGAATTTACTGGTAAGTTATAAATCTACTCGCGATTCACATAATGGGGCGAGGGCGGCCAAATATCTAGCGGGCAGGCGGTTAACAGTCCAGAACCGGTCCTGGATAGAATTGGATGCGGTAAACTTGTAGCATTCACCCGAGGTCCTAGTCTTCAACCGGCTAAACCGAGTGAGGTTGGTGCTCCGTAAAGCGCGTGCGCGAATCTGGCTTTTTGAATGCTGACGATACGGCGCTTCCACTCCACCACTAATATTCGAATATACAATAGCAATCTTTTTCTTCATGTGTAGTATAGAAATTTGTAATGAGATACATAACGTGGTTATAATAAAATATTGTGCGATTATTTTCATATAATTAAAATTAATATGAATTTATTTTTTAGAAAATACAAGGGAAGCGGCGCATCCACCGTTTCCAATGACGGCACGCCACTGCAAGATACACTTTACTCTTGGTATTCGCTAGGGTTAGGTTTTTTTTAAATCTCGTGAAACCAAATAAGGATCCCTACGGATAAAATTGAGTTTGGTTTTGTGGAACATTTCAAAGATAAACGTTAATATAAAATATTGCAAATTTTCTAATATAAAACGTTTAAATTATTTCTAAAAAGCAATGAATAAAATTTTTAAATAATATAAAAATTTCGAGTAAGAGATTGAAAATTCAGCAGGAAAATCTTGAGATTAAAACAATTTAAGAACGAAAGTCTACATATTCTGTAGAATAACTTTTATAATATACTGGATAATTTTAAATACAGTAGTGCGTCGTTTATCCGAATCAATTGGGGACTGGAGTTGTTCGGATAACTTATTTTTCGGATAACCAATTATGTACGAAAAAATATATTAATTTATCTTGTGTTGAAATTTTTCTCGTTGCGTGTCGCTTCGCGTTGAATTTTCACTGGCGTCTAATTACAGAACGATTCCGAGCCGTAGTTCTGTATTTTACCACGAGATGTCGCTAATTCGTGACGTCGAGAAGCTGGACAAGCATAATTCTTGGTGTAAATACACCACAGTCAGAATGAATTTATTACGAACAAAATTTGCTACTGTTCGTTTGTTGAACGTCAAATTTGTCTTTTGTCTAATGTTCAATGTTTATATTATAAGATGATTATTGTTCATTATTTTTATCAAAACATTTAAAATTATACGGTATATTATAAAAGTTATTCTACAGAATATGTAGACTTTCGTTCTTAAATTCTTTTAATCTCGAGATTTTCCTGCTGAATTTTCAATCTCTTACTCGAATTTTTTTTTGTATTATTTAATAAAATTATTCATTGCTTTTTAGAAATAATTTAAAGGTTTTTATATTAGAAAATTTGCAATATTTTATTTCACAATTAACGTTTATCTTGGAAATGTTCCACAAAACCAAACTCAATTTTCTCCATAGGCATCCTTATTTAATTTTTACGAGATTTTAAAAACCTAACCCTAGCAAATACCAAGAGTTAAGTGTATCTTGTATAATTTGAGTAAAGTCTTTTGAATTGGTAGTTTAAATCCATCAACAAATTATCATAATCAGTAAAATATTAATGAACTTTTTGTAGCCTGATTTAACAGATCAGCAATGATTTATTCGAACATTAGCTAAAAAAATGCTATTTGTAAGAAAAATGTTTTCTATATGAAAAGGATTTATTAAAAATTATACATTTGCAGCATTTTTATATACACAATCTGTTAATGTCTTCTTTTTGTAGGTACATTTTTGAATCGATCCCATGTGCCAGAGCCGCACGAGTAGAATTTATAAAGTCCATAAATTTTTAGACAGTACGACGCAGTTAACTTTAGTTGGTTCTCAACATATCTGTGGCTTTCCATTCGTAGAAATCTGTCAAATACAGTACATAATATTTTTAATTACTACTGAATGAGCTGTTAATATTCACGAAAACAATTATTTTAAGATATATTAATTAAATACAGCATTTTTAAAATTTCAGAAGAGAATTTACTTACCCTTCATAGTTTTGAATTTCAGTTTCTCAATTTCACAGGCAAATCCGTGTACAGGTACAGGACTTTCTCCAAATTCTCACGTAATCGAAGGAAAGTAGAAAATTCTTCGGAACATGAAGTCTCGCGACAGAATATAGACTTTTCCTCCACCAGCATTTGCTTATGTTCTAAACCTACACGCTTGTTAGTAAGATTTCCTTTTGAGGAGAAGCGCTTATCGCAATAACAACGAGTATTTTCTAATATATCCAACGCAATATTTTCCATAACGATTTCTTAGCAACGTAGCGGGAATACTTCACAACCAATTATCGATGATAAAGTGTGGTTTTAAAGCTAAAATATCGACAAAAAATTCCAAGCACACCGTACAGCACGACGTATACGTTATATGAACCTCACGACACTAGCGGCATCTCGTGGTAAAAACCAGAACTACGGCTACGGAATCGTTCTGTAATTAGACGCCAGTGAATTATCGTCGATGTTAAGCCTAACGAAGACTATTGCATCGTTAAAAATTATTTTTTTATTTTGTACGAACAAAATAAATATATTGAAAAATATAAAAACAATAAAAAATTATACTTCAGAATTTCATTTACTATCAAAAACGTAAAATATTTGAATAGCCGAAGACATAGCCAAAGATTACAGCGCCACAGCACTGGCGAAAATTTAAATTTGTCGACTGGAATTCCTTCGGATAACCGACCTTCGGATAAACGACGCTCTACTGTATTTTGATAAAAATAATGAACAATAATCATCTTTTAAAGCTATAATATAAACAATGAACATTAGACAAAAGACAAATTTGACGTTCAACAAACGAATAGCAGCAAATTTTGTGCGTAATAAATTAATTCTGACTGTGGTATATTACACCACTCAGAATTATGCTTGTCCAGCTGATTGACGTCACGAAGTAGCGATATCTCGTGGTAGAAAACAGAACTACTGCTATGGAATCGTTCTGTAGACGCCAGTATCCTCGTTTCAGCCATTAACACTTCCCCCTGGTATACAGTACAGTACCTCTAGGGATACAGATCCCAAGCTGAGAAACAAAATATTAGATAAATTAAAAATAATTGTTATTTTAAATATGAAAAACTATTTGGCAATTCACGTGCATTTAAATTTAGTATGAAAATTTGCTCGTCATAATACATGGCAAAATATAATAGAGTGTTTATAATAAATGATAATTTAATAAGAATTACCTTCGTTTTGCCATTTAAAATAAATGCACAGTAGAACTTGGATTCAGGGAGAACAGTGGAAACAGAAGACTGCTTAAAGATATTTTAAACTTGCTGTGTATTTTACAATATCTGGCTGTTTCTTAAATAATCAGTACATGGTTTAGTTACAGAAAAGTAAAATAATGTGTGATAAGAACAGAAATCAGAGATAGCCAATAAATTGATGAAATTATAAGGCTATTTTTACATGCCATGTAAAAGGTCTTTAAATAAGGTGGAAAATGTTAGTTTAATTTAAAAATTCATACTGGAAGTTTAAGGTAATTGATTCGACTGTTGTTCCAGTTGGTTTACATTTATTTTATTTTTATGTGACAACAGAATTTGTCACCAGACATGCCAAATGCCATTTTTTAACTAAATTTAATAATTATAAATTAATGATTTTGTTTATTGAGATGTAGTAGATATAACTTGAAGTGACACACTCAAAACTGCAACTACTGCATGCTAGGACAACAAAATTACAGATTATGCTGTCTAGGCTTCACAAGCAGGATTTTTGCCAATTTTTCCAACACAACTTATTCATTCTGCTTTTATTACTGTTTCTTCTTCTAAATTCTCTTAGGTTCTTAATGCCTCTCTTCCATTATGCAAGGAAGAAATACTGATATACATCTACCAATGTTTGATGTGAAAACTATCATACTACTATTTAAAACTTTGAAAACTTCATTCTGTAAATTGAAAGACACAGAAACTATATATAACAACGGTACAAAAACATGATATTGTTTAAATAACATTCTTGGAAAACATGTAATCGATTTTTATGTCCACTTAACAGAGGTTTTGAAAAATAATACAAAGTTTGTTATTATCTGCAGTAAGCAGTGCTTGATTAATCAAGGTAAAACAGAGTACATATCAACAGTCTTTTACACTATGCTGGTACAAATATTTGCTAGACCCAGCAGCCATTAAAGACAAGTTTTACTGTACAGTATATAAAAGAAGGATAAATTATTTTGTTTATATTTTTATTTAACTGTAATTTCTACATCAAACATGTAAACATGTCACTATAACAAGAGTTGTTTCTTTGTTTTTTATACATAACTTCTTACAAATGTTTAATCCTGAGATTTAATACAACATTCAAATAAGGAACAATCTTTAAACATTGAAAATTCAGATTAATATAAATAAACAATCTGTTAATCTTAAGTTAAATTACACATTTTACATATATTTATGATTGAGAAAATATTTGTATATCTCATTACAAAACTATATACAACATAATACTAATGTATCCTATTTCAAGTGCATCATTTTTGCAATAGTAAATGTCTTGAAATCAATTTTAAAAACTTAATACTGATTTCTCCATCAAACCAAAATGTGGCCTGAAGTTCTTTCAATTAAATAAATAATTATATAAGAGAAGGCCTTAATAAGAAATTCATAACTTACATATTTATTGAAGTCTTCCTATATTGTTTAATTATGTTTTAAAATTGAAAATATTATTATTATATTACTGTTCATCAATCAATGAAAATTAAGTAATTTGGAATAATGTTTATGAAAACTGTTTAAATTTTTTAAAAAGTTTTTAATCAAATAATGAAAATAAATTTGAATTTATATCTTTTTTATAATAGAAATATTTTTATGAAAAATGTTCAAAATAAATAAATAATTAGAATTATAATACAACCTAAAAAAAGTAACTTTTAAAAATTAAAATTAATTTAGTGAAAGTTTTAGAAAGAGAGAGGGGGAATACCTTCTAATTATAAAAATTTCTAAATAAACAAAATATAATATAATGCTTAATTTTTTATTAAAAAAATATATAAACTTTGATTTTATTTTAAATTTATGAAGATCCAATGGTTGCAAAGTTTCGACGTTTTCTCCAGAAATCTTTTCCCTGGTGCCACTCTCCCTCTACCAAACTTCTCACAATCATTTTGGCACGATTTGGCCACAATGGATGATTATGAAGACTCAATTCATTAGCTAGTTGATTGGCTGCTTCTAATACTGTAATGTGCTTTTTGCTAGCTTCGTGCAATATTTTCTTTGTTAAGCCATATATCTACACAGAAAAAGTCAAATAATTTAACACTTCCATAAAATATAGCAAAATAAGATATAATATACTTTAGATCAAATAAGTGAATTAAAATAAACAAATATTAAACCTTTCATATTCAAAAATAAAGAAATAGTTTTGACCTTTTGACACATACAGTCTTATACACAAAATCAAAATTTCTACTAAAGTGTATATGAGCCATTGAGAAGCCAATCAGTCTAAGTTCATTTTTTAAAAAATTTTAATCGGGATTTTCTGTCAAAAAGAAGTATAATGAGTAAAGTTTTCAAGCCTATGAAGCATAACTAAATTACCTCTCCTGTAATATTGTAACAACCACATTTAGATTGGCTTCTAAATGGCTCATATGCATATTAGATTTAAAAATAAATTATAAGAATTACAAATAGAAACAGTTATGTATTATATACAGGTAAGCAGAACTCTGATTATCCAATTATAATTATTAATTTTAATAAGAGATGGCACCTAATGCCTCACTCTAGTGCCAAATTCATTTCTAATCTATAATTATATATCCAAAATATAGCCTGATCATTTATGGCAGTTATAGGTGTATTTGATTATCCAAACCCTAATTAACTGAGATTCTGTGTTATCCAAGGAGAATCTTACTACTTTTCTTATAGTTTCATGAAAGATTTGCTATGAATGAACCAAGCATGTAAAAACCATAGTACTTTTAACCTGGACTGTACTAAGCAACTGACTTTTTTAAAATTCTTTTAGTTCTCTGGGCACTAGATAGCCTTTGTTTGATGCCCATTATGGGTTTGTCTAGACCCTGAATGAGAGTGGTAATGTCGTGAAGGTCATGAAAAATGATGCTAACATAACTGCAGAATATTGAATCAAAGAAGGGAAGAACTACTATAAAATATAACACTACTTCAACTGTCATATAACATTGGGCTATAATTTGATGATGATAATTATAAATTACTAAAATAGTTATATATAGCTATAAAATATAAAACTCTGACTTTTTAAAATGAACTTTAAAATGATAACACACATTACAAAATCTTTATGCTACCTTTTATCCTTTAACTTCAATGTGACACAAACCATTCATATTAATTAATTAATTTAAAATGCAGTAATAGACATTTCTATTGTAATTTACAGTAATACACATTTCTATTGTTAAACCTATATATTACATAGTATACAAAATGTACAGTACTTCTTATATATGATTGAATTCACTAATGCATAAAAAGAAGCTCAAAGGTGATACCATATAAATCGTTTATACTCATAATTTTTATTCCAAAATATCTATAGCCATCTATTTTATCAAAGTTTTCAGTTATCCAAGATAGAATCAGTCCATATCATCTCAGATAATCAGATTCTACTGTACTTTAAATTTATGAAATAAAGAGAATAGCCAGAGAAATGTGAAAAAGACTTTTTATAAAAAATGTTAATTATTATTAAAAAATTTTTATCGTAATTAAATATATAAAATTTATATTTTATTACTCAGAAATAAATATAATATATACTTTCATAATTATCATGTTTTATTTTTATACAATAATTTATTTGTATACTGTTTATTTTGTTTTATGATTTGTATTCAAACTATAAGATTTTATGATAAATTATGAATAAAACTTGGCAAAAATGATATTTACAGGATCAGATAATATAAAAATTCATGCATTTAAACATTAAGTTGTTTACATGCATGAACAAAAAGTGTGTTTATTACCAGTTGTACAAAAAATAATTACTAATAATATTAAGTAAATATATAAAATTAANAGCTTACAGCCACCACCTTCAGGCAAAAAAGAAATATTTATATGGGAGAACCTCTATATTTCTGCAGTAATGCCATGAATAGACAAACTTTAGAAATCCCACAACTGTAAGTAACTTTATTCAAACAATTTAATTTGTAATTTTGTACAAGTTGACCCCCCTATAACACTGTTGATTTTTCCGTTTTATCTGAATTACATGTTGTACGAGTCACTTAGATTTTACAAATATGTGAGCCGTTCACAGCCCGGCACACGTATTTGTAAAATCTAAGTGACTCGTACAACATGGAATTCTTATAAAACGGAAAAATCAACAATCTTATAGCGGGGTCGACTGTAATTATCATTGTTGTGTAATTTTTTTAAAGAAAAGATTTTTAAAAAATGTAAATAAAAGTATTAAAAAGTACATTAAAAAAGGAAAACAAATAAAAATTAAATACTTTAAAACTCAATTTTTTAAACTGAGTTTCAAACTCATTATCAACATTATTTTGGAAAATCAGGCAACATTACTTTTCCAACAAAAATCATAAATACTTTGCCTTTTAGTTAAAAATTATTATAATAAATTATGATATTATAAAAATAACTTCAGATTCATATTCTACTTCTGCAAAATCTAAAAGTGATGTATTCTTCTTAACAATCAAAATATCACATTAGTTGGTATCATTTTGATAAATTCCTCTAAACATTTAAACAATTGTTCAAGTATTAACCTTTGTAGAGAAGGTTAGTCAGATGTGGCACTATCACAATATAGTGGAGAATAAATGTGGGAAATTTTTAAAGAATTTTCCCACACATTTTTCTCATTTCCATTTTGGAAAAAATTTTTTTAAACAGTTACGTCTAGTAAATAAAAAAATCTTTCTTTATTGTCACATAATTCCTTTTTTGTGAATTTTTTTTCGTGGTAATTTTTGGCTAAGATTTTTTGCGGATATTGACGTCATTCTCCAGTGCCACGCAATCGCCTTTGATGGGTATATCCGTCAATCTGTTGAGGGTGATTAAGCTTTTAAAGTCATATATGCAACTAAATTTTATGATTATATAACTTAAAATTAAAATTTTTATGAGTTTTTTTGTTCTACATATGAACATTATCATTTAAATATTCATAATAAAGTTTAAAAAAATAAATTTTAATATACTGAATATTCCAATGTTTTATCAAAATGTTTTTCTATTTCTGGATCTTTGTATACTCGTCCATAATTTTCATGAACTGAATTTACCATAGCCTAAAATTTAAAAAAAAAGTAAAATTAATATAATATTAAATAAATACATAAAATTAATAATTAATTAATTAATTATAATAAATATTACTAATAATAAAATTTGAAAAAAAGATCTCACCATTCTATTAGGAAGAAATTCAAATACGTATGTTATTCCAGCATCTACAAGTAACTGGCAATCTTCTTCAGATTCTAATAGTGCATTAGCTGTACCACAGATAATTTTAGCTTTGATTTTGGGAATTATAGCAGGCTTCAATATCTAGGTTAAAATACACAATCTAATGCTATTTTAAATTCCATTTTCATACATTAATTCATTTTAATATATACTGTATATGTATTTTTAACAGGCAATTTATTAATAACTTACGTGTCCAATTGCACAAGGAGAAAAAATATCACAGTTATATTCAAGTATGCTCAGATCTCCAAAATTTACTTTTTCTACAGTCAAACGGCCTTTAGCCTATTAAAATATTTACCTTATAATATTTACCACACAAAATAATTCATTTTTAATCTCTTATTTTTAAAAAAAACACAAAAATGCATACTTTACAAGCAAGAACATCTCTTATGTCATCTATACGTTTTTGACTGGAATCTGTTACAAACACATGAGCTCCACAAGAAATCAATCTTGATACTACATCAAAACCTAGAAATGATATATTGAAATTTAAAAAAAAAATAAATATATATTTATATATCTGAGAATCAACTTATAAAGACAAAATCAGTACAGTCAAATACTAATATAGCAATTATCAATATAGTGATAAATCCCTCTAAATTTTAAGAAATATGCAATTTCTATTAAAATAGTGTAAAAGTTCTCTCAATTGAACAATATTCTCTATTGCAATAAATCTCTATTTAGTAATACATTTTTTTACTATACACATAAAATAAACAGTATTTTGTTTTCTCTACAATGATGATAATGCAGTTAATTTTAATTTATTCTGAATCAAAACATGATATTGTCTTAATACAATAATTCTACTGCAAATATTACCTGTTGTTAGTACAGACAAGAGCAGAGTTGCCAGATTTAGCATGTTTTTAGTGTTTTAACACCTACATTTATTGTTTAGCAGTTAAAATTAATTACTATTTTCTGCTTTGTTTAGCTAAAATGTAGCATTGGGCAAATTTTTTTATAATATATAATATTAAATGACAAATTTGACTTTTTCTAAGCAGTTTAGAGCTTTTTAGTTCTAATCTATCATTTTCAACTTTTCCAAGAAATACAGTAAACCAATACATTACAGTCAAAGCTCAAAATCCTCCACAACTTGATCTTATTACGTGAAAGTAATTGTAACAAAGCCTCTTTTATTTTTAGAATTAGAGCAATTGGCAGCACTAAGACAATAAAGTTTCCCAGAAAATATGTTTGTTACATGAGTTTAATATAGCAAAGTTCTCTTAGAAAGTGTACAGGAATGTCTTGGTATTGCAGATTACACCTATTAAAATGATTATAAAAAACATTCTCCTTAAGAAATTATATTTTAAAATTAGTTTTAGTTTAAAGCTGACTCTAATCTCTTTGGTTATAGCAATCTCTAGCATAGGGATCAGCAACATGTGGCCTGCATTGCATAAAACATGAATAAATGTATCAATTTCCCAGCTTAAGGAAGTATGCAGCAAAAATTCAAACGTTATTTTTTACAATTTTTGTATGTGAATAGTTTTTCTGCAATAAATTTAGTAAAAATTAAAACAAGAAACTGACTAACAGGCACATAGAAACTAATTTAAAACTAGCAGTGACTAATATTAACCAAATAATTCCAATATACAGTATTACATTTACATCAGTTCCAGAAGCTAAATTAAGTATACCTATTCTAATTTATAATTATATATGAATGAATAATTGTGATTTACCGACATTTTTTTCTCCTTCATTCAGTTAGATGAATGAAGTAATTATAGTTTTTCTCTTGTATGCAACCCACGTCAGTTCAAAAGATTTGAAATGCAGCCCTTACATAAAAAAATGTTGCCCATCCCTGCTCTAGCAGATGGTTTTTTTCATTTGAATAAAATCAAGTCAAAATGTCTGCAGATAAAAGGCACATCAGGTATATTATGCATGCTTTTTAAGTTCTGTAAAGGATATCATGCTATAAAAACAGTAAAAAATACTCATATTGTGTATGGGAAAGATGCTTCTAAACACTGAATGTGTCAAATGTGGTTTTGAAACTTTTGTTTGGGAAATTTTGAACTAAAAGATGTAAAATGTATAGGCCCTCAAAAGCTGTTGAAGAGAAATTGAAGGAAGAAATTGTTAAAGATTGACGAATAACAACTTGTGAATTTGCGACAAATCTTAGTGTGTCACAGACACATATTGTTAAAACACTTCATCCAATTGAAATGTTTGTAAAACATGGTGATGATTGTGTAATGCACACAGTTTCTTTTTTTCAATTATGAATAAAACAAACTAAACTGATTATAATTTTGTCTGAAAAAGATAGGCAGCTGTAAGGTTTTATTTTATTCTATAATTGGTTACTCATTGTTATCTTAGAGAATGTTTTTATGGATGAATGAAGTAATTATTGTTAAATCTGTTATTAACTGAAAATTTGTTCTAGCAGGTGGTGATTTTTCTGTTGAGTACTGAGGTACTACTGTATTTGATTAATGTGATTTTGATATACACAGTAACATCAAGAATTTTATTAATCACATTAATCAAGGGTAACCTGTCTACTGTGGAAGAGTTGTTCAGCCCCTTTAAGTTCTGTTATAGACAGGTTTGACTGTATTATATTATAGTACAGTAGAACCTCCATTATCCGGACCTCCATTATCCGGATTTTCGATTATCCGGATTGTTCAAAATAAACAAAAATTTTACGAATTTGCTGATTTGCACTTGGTGAATTACGACACTGTTTATGTACGTGATGGAATGCATAACTTTTTTTGTTTCAACAACGTCTCACCCGGCACAGTGGTCATAAACTCATAAATATATTTTACATAGTAATAAAAATATAACTTGACATACGTATTTATAAATAATTTATATTCAAATTACATCATTTCTATGACCAAGGGCGGCGTAAAGTAAGGACGACGTGGGCCATCGCCTATGCCTCGCAGTCCGAAGGGCCTCGTATGTCTTGATTTACGCAAATCAAGACCTACCGCAAAGAGAAGAGCGACAAGATACGGATAAGATCGTTCCAGTCAATTATAATCCATATATTAGACGGCTATATGGAGAAATAGCTAAAAAGAACCACATACGTATAGCCTACAGAAGGTGCGCTTCGATATTCAACATACTAACCAATGGAAAAGATCAACCTGATAAAGATAGGCTGTCAGGGGTCTACAGCATACCGATGATAGATCGCAGATGTGATAGAAACCTTCTGTATGTGGGCTCCACCAAACGATCCTTAGAGGTTAGACTCAAAGAACACGCTGCGGATATTCAGAAACAAAGGAGCATGATGGCTCTAGCAGTATATGCCTCGGATCCGGATATAGACCCCGAATTTATGAAAGCCCGAATTATCCGCACCACACGGCAAGTACACCATATCAGATGGCTAGAGGCAGCCAGCATATACTTAGCTAACCTTAAGGATAATCAATGCATCAATTATAAAGAAGAGATTACGTTATCAACAGCGTGGCTAGCGTTTATGAATGGTAATTTATGATACCCGTTTTGGAGTCGACTGCGCATGACATACAACGACGGAAACGGGAAACGTGCATTCGAACATACGTATTTCAAATTTAAAGTTTTTTATCAGCTGCATTTTTTTTCCCATCAGAGATTTTAAAAAAAGCCTGAAGAAGAACCGTTATAAGGGTTCGAAAACGTTAGTTTGGGTTCGTTTTTGGTTTGTTATGACATAGTAGACGCACCGGTAACAGGTTAGAAAGAGTTATTATTTTACCTTTATATATATAGTTAATGAATAATTACAATTTTTATATGATCTTAAAAAAAGAGAGAAACATACCTACAGATCCAGCCCCCTGAACTGCAACTGTTTTTCCTGCTAAACTTCCCATTTTCATATAATCAAGAGCTGCTTCCATTGCACAAATAACACCTGATGAAATATTACAGAATATTTTATCATCATTATTATACAGAAAAATATCAAAATAATTTGTGGAACTAATTATTATGAATAGAAAATAAAAATAAAATGATTATCTATACAGATTACTTTGAATAGTTAGATAACAAAATTTGATTGAGATTGTTTATTGTTTTCTTCATAGTCAGTAAATCTTGACATCATTTAGTAAACTGTGAGACACACAAACTGCTTCTTCTAATAGCCAGTATCTTATTTTAAACAATAGATGTTTTTGGCCCACTTTAAGCCAGTATCAGCTTGTGCATGGAACATTATTTAAATAAAAACATAAACTTTCATTAATAAAGAAAAAATATTTAAAAACACAGGAAGTCTAAACACTTTTAAACATTGAACATTCATTGTCAGGAACATGCCTTCATAAGTTATTTTGCCATGAATATCATTATAACAGATTATAAGAAAAAACATTTCTATATTAATGATGGAAAATACAAAAGCACAATTAAATTTAAATCTAAAATAATTAAGAAAAATAAAATAGTAAAAAATTACAATTTTCTACATGACAAAAATATTTACAATCCATTTCAAAGGCATGGCTAAGATGTAAAAAAACTCTGTAGTTAATAGAGACTTTAATACCATTGTCTTTTAAACTCCTTTGGTAAACCCATATTACTTCTGTTGTTTTGTGATTTTAAGGTTTCTAACTCTGCATTTTTCTATGTTTCTATCTCAAATACTGTGTGACAAAGAAGTGTTAGATCTACCTGATCTAATGCCTTTATAATGTCCTTTAACTCTTTCATAGACACTGCAGTTTATTTATGTTCAGATCCATCTGCATTGCTTAGAACCAATATTCTTTAAAACTCACTCTTATTCAACAGAATTGTTCTCTCTAATGTTCCTCAAAATTTTAAAAATAGTGGAGTTCCTTTTCTATGCTGGACCAGAGTCAAGGCATAGCAACCAAAACAAAACTAAAATTAAATGTGTCAGTGTCAGTATTCAGGAATTTCCTAACAATATGGCATGTATTCAATATAGTGGCCTTCTGTAGTGTGATGTATGTATTTCTATTATGTTGTACCCAGGCTTTTGTGTAGTGTGTGGTATCACACCTGTACAGGAGAGAATGACAGGTACAATAAGTACCCTATCCATCCTCCACAGATGCCTTATTTCCTGGGTGAGTTCTGTGTACTTGCTAATTTTTTCAGTGCTTGTGTTTTGTACATTGTGAGTGTTTGGAATGGCTATGTCTATAATGTATGTGATTTTATTGTGTTTGTCAATGAGTGTGATGTCTGGTCTGTTGTGGTAAATTGTTTTATCTGTGATTATGGCTCTGTCGTAATACATTTTGTGCGTGTTATTTTCCAATACTGTCTGTGGAATATACTTGTAGTATGGTTCGTGGATGTCTGCCAATTTGTGTTTCTTTGCAAGCTCTTGGTGTATTATATTTGCTACTTGATTGTGTCTATGTAAGTAATCTGTCTGTGCCAAGAGCTTGCAACCAGAAGTGATGTGTTGTATAGTTTCTGGCATGATGTGACATTTTCTGCATGTGTCATTTGTGAGTGTTGTATCTTTGAGTATGTGTTTTCTGTAGTTTTTAGTATTTATGACCTGATCCTGTATGGCAATCATAAAGCCTTCTGTCTCCCCAAAGAGGCATCCTCAATCTAACCAGCTGTTTGATGCAGTTTTGTCAACAAAATCCTGGGCCAGGTCATAAGGATGCCTACCATGGAGTGCCTTTCGAGTCCATGATTGCTTGATGGTATCTATGCTTTTTATATGTTGTGTCAAGTCTGTATGATGTGAGTGCAAGTTTAATGGAGTGTTATTTGAGTCTGCTAGAGTTACTGCTTTGTGTAACTGTGCTGTTTCTTGTTTCCTGTAGAAAAACTCTCACAATGACTGTATTTGTTTATAGTGAAGGTTAACTATGTCAATCAGGCCACATGTGCCATCTTTACGTGGAAGGGTTAATCTTTCTATGGCAGATTTAGTATGATGTTGTTTATGCTTAGTAAGTGTTGTTCTTGTTTTCCTTTGGAGTTGCTCAAGATCTGTGAGTCCAATGTATAACGTCAAAAGAGTAAGTGAGTACTGGGATGACATATGTGTTTATTGCTTTAACTGTATGTTTTGCATTTAACTGTGTTCTGAGGATAGCATTTAACCTACTTTGCTATTCTTTAATTAATCATTGCTTTATTTGTGTATGTTCTGTTAATTTGGCCTGTTGGAATCCTAAATACTTGTAGAACTCGCCCTCTTCCACGAATTCAATAACTTCTCCATTTCCAAGTGCAAAATCTTCTTTCTTCAGGACTCCTTTTTCTATGTGAAGTGTTTTGCATTTGCCTAGGCCAAACTCCATTTGTATGTCCTTAGTGAATGAATGTGTGATTTGTAAGAGTTGATGAAGTTGTTTTTGTGTGGATGCATAAAGTTTTATGTTGTCCATGTACATGAGATGTGACAGCGTAAACTGTGTTGTTTTTTCATGTCTGATATTGTAGCCATATTGCTTGTTGTTTAACACATTGGATAATGGGTTCAGGGCTAGACAGAACCAGAGAGGACTCAAGGAATCTCCTTGAAAAATTCCTTGCCTAATGAATATTTTGTTTGTTTGTATGGAAATGTTACTAACCCTGAGATGCAGTGTTGTTCTCCAGTGCTGCATAGTGTTTTGGATAAATGCAATAAGTGATGGATGTATTTTGTACATGTGCAGAATATGTAGTTGCCAACTGTGTGGAACGCTGTCGAATGCTTTTCTGTAGTCTATATATGCCATGTATATGTTTCTGTGTTGTTTGTGTGCTTGTCGTAGAATGACTGAATCTATGAGTAACTGTTCTTTGCATCCACTAGCGTAGCGAGAGGGTCTATCACGCCCTGGGCACCAGTCGCAGAGGGGTGCCAAATGATCTCCAAGACAAACAAGATTTCTTTCTTGAGGGGGGCTCCAATAAAGTGTCGTGCCCTGGGCACCAGTTATGTTCGCTAAGCCACTGTTTGCATCCTCTGTGATTTCTATGGCAACCTTTTTGTTGTTCTGTAAGAATGTCATGTTCTTCAACATGTTTGTATATTTTGTTTGTGATACAGGATATCACAAACAATAATTTCAATAATTTGTAGAGTGTTGGAAGACATGTAATTGGTCTGTATTGTATGGGGTCTGTGATGTTGTTGTTTTTAGGTTTCATGTAGGTGATGCCCTGAGTAAGAAATTTGGCTTGTCTTGTGGATTGATGATGATGTGTGTTAGATGTTTAGCTAGTTCCTGGTGCAGTGATGTAAACTTTTTGTACCAGAAATTGTGAATGTTGTCTACACCAGGTGTCTTCCAGTTGTGTGTTCTGTTAACAGCATAACGGATGTCGTGTATGTTTATTTCAGCACAGGGCATAGTTGGTATGTTATGCAAGTTTGCAAGTTTCTGTTCTTTTCCTCGATCCAGCCTGCATCAGCATTGTGTGTAACAGCATTGGACCAAAGAGAAGACCAATAAGTTGTGAGTTCTTCTTCTGTTGGTGTGCCACTGTGCTGTGTATCAGTGTTTGTTTTGGTACTGATTTGTCTGTAGAAAAGTTTTTCGTTGTTTGTGAATAATTTATTGTGTTGTTTTCGTAGTGTACATGTCTTGTATCGTTTGAGTCTACGTGCTTTGGCTGCGAGTTTCTGTTTTAGTGTATCGATGTATTCTGTAATGTGTGTGTTGTGATGTTCGTGTTTTGTGTGTGTTTTAATTTTCTTGAAAATGTTTTTGAGTTGTTTCTTTAATTTAGGTGTTATGTTATTTTTAGTGTATTGTGTCAACCTGCCTAATTGCTATTGTGTCATTTATTTGTGTTTCTATTCTTCTCTGCCAGGCAGGCTTGTGATAGAATTGTGTTTTGTGTGTGTCTGTATTTTCAGTCCATGGTGTGTTACTACTGTGACTGCCCCAGCATAAACTAATGTATAAATGTCTGAGAGTGTAGAAATTGAATGAATGTAGTGTGGTAGTAAATGAGTGTTTACATAATTTAGTGTTTTTCCTACTTTCTTTGACGTGTTGATTTTCGGTATTCGTGGTCTTTGTGTGGGATCTGTACCTGTATATTTAGTGAGTGTTTCCTGAAATATAAGTGAGAGGATATTAACTAATTCTATGTTTATGTTATCAGTGATGAATGAGGAAGTGCCTGTAGTATCATTAATAATAGTTGTTGTATGTGTGCTATTATCAATGCTTATTGCTGGATTATCCCGACAGGTTACGTGATCTTCATTAATAATGTTAAATGTTTCTGTCTGTTGATGTATTTGATCAGCAACCTGTTGTTTGATAAGTTCAAGTGTTGTTTGTGAGATAAGGTAGTTGTGTATAATTGTTCTTTTTTGATCGACAACCCTTTGTTCGATGACAGTGAGGTGAGGATATTGTTGTGTGAATCTATGATGTAGTTGTTTTCTGTATGCTGTCATGTTTGTTTCAAGTTTTGTGATCGTGTAGTAAGTATGGATGATAATCTCGTTAATTTCTGATGTCCATTTCATCCATTGGCGTGGTTTTCCAGCTTTTGTGGTCTGTGGATGCATTGCCACAGAAACACCAAGGCTAGGTTGATTTCTCACATCTGTTGAGGGCATTGCAGTAGCCATGCTTGGGCCGGTGCTGCTTTCGCCACCAGTAACCAAGGAAGACTGTGGCCTATTTTTCGAATGTGAGCCTCTGCCTAATCAACGAATGCAGACCTTGTTAACCAGGGCAACGTCCAAGCCAGTATTATTATTATATCGCAAATGTCATATTCAGCTTATACTGGTGCTAAATGCTATGCTGGACTAAACTCGAAGCATTAGCTACCAAAACAAGTGTAATATTAAGCATCTGTGTTATTAGAGTATGTGTCCATGTCTAGAAACTTTTTAACAATGTGATATGTGTTCAGTATTGTGATTTTCTGTAGTATCATGTATATGTTTTTATTAAGATTTAATGTTTCTAGACTTTTGTGTAGTGTATATGATATGACATCAGTGGAAGAGAGGACAATAAGCACAATAAACCTATCTATCCTCCATAGGTATTTTATTTCTTGGGTGAGTGGAGTGTACTTGTGGATTTTTCCAGTGTAAACATTTTTCATGTTATGAGTGTTTGAGATGATACCTTGTAAATTGTCCATTGGTATGTCATACTTTATAATAATAGTAAAAGCTAAAATAGAGCAAAATAGTAAAAGCTAAAAAGGCATTGGATTATAAGCAGTTAGGAGCTAAAATATCAAAGGCCCGTAGATGGATGAAGAAAAATGGAGTCACTCTCATTAGAACCGACATGGCCAAAACTGTGGTAGTTATGAAGCAGCAGACATTTGAGCAATTGCTGTTAGATTATATCAATCTTACCCAATGTGAGCGAGTTGACAATAACATGGTTGAAAAATTGAATGCAAGAGTCAAAAGGTTCGCCAACACCAAGTTATCTAAGAGGTTAGAACTTAAGAGCATTTTACTGGACTCTCCGGACATGCCTAAATTATTCGGGTTTGTCAAAACCCATACGATAATGCACACTTTAATCGCACCAGACTTAGAAGAGTACCAGTTCACTATATCCAATAATGTAGACCTCATAGCACTCCTGAAGCAGATTGGTACCCCCGAAGTTCCTAACTGTACTTGATTTTAAATCACTGTACCCTTCTGTACTTCTACCACCAGCCTTTTATGCAGTAAGAGATTTGTTATTCAAAATAGTAGAGGATGTTAATTACCACCATCAAATTTTGGAGTTGGCACATTTATTGTGCTATAACTTGTTCTTTCAGTTCAAAGGCACAGTTTACAAACAAAGAAGGGGTGTACCAATAGGGAGCCCAGTCTCGGGAGACCTTTGTGAACTGGTGATTAGACTCCTAGAAGATAAACTACTTCCTGACCACCTCCACAATATAATTATGTATAAGAGGTATGTGGGCGATATACTCATCTTATGGAGGTGTAAGCCTGATATGCCAGCATTCATAGCATCATTTGATAACAACCTGTACGGCTTAACTCTGGGTATTGAACAGGAAAGCTACACCCAGGTTCATTTTCTTGATGTCAGCATCATGGTTAAAGGATCAACCATCAGCACAGAAGTATACAGAAAACCGCTCGCAGAACAAATATACATTCCAGTAGGGTCATGTGACCCGAGGCAATATAAAGTAGCAGCATTTAACACCTTGGTTAAAAGGGCTTACACCACTCTTTGACATCGCATGCATTTGAAACAGAAATCAACACACTTAAGAGTATTGCTGAACACCATGGGTATGGTAAACTGATAACTACCTTAGCCAAAAAAATGCTTCATCCCCAACGAGCAGAATGTCCGGAAACACAAGGGAAAGAACCTAAGGACAGAGTTTCTATCACTTATAATCCGTATTTAAAGAAACTACATACCAAGATCACTAAGAAAAGACAAGTTTCCATTGTATTTAGACGATGTCCTACAATATTTCGACTGCTTAGTAATGTGAAAGATACTCCGCAACAAGACATGCTGGCTGGAGTATACACCATCCCGATTAGGAATCTCAGATGTGATAAAGACTTAATATATGTCAGCTCCACAAAGAGATCTTTAGGAGTGAGGCTTAAAGAGCATAAAGCGGACATCCTCCACAAGAGGCCTACAACCGCCTTAGCACAGTATGCCACGGACCCTGAGATACAACCTTTATTTAATCAAGCCAGGATAATGTACACCACACACCAGACATACCATTTGCGTTTGAGGGAAGCGATTTATGTACACAAGCAGCTCAGGGTAACAATTGTATCAACAGTAAAGATAAAATATCCTTATCAGTAGCGTGGCAAACCCTGGGATATGACACGACAAGATGAAAGTTAGGCTCACAACGGCACATGCGCAAATGATGACGACGACTGCATGGGTTTCTGACGATATTCCATTTCAGAATTCTTTCAAAAAAGATCAGCTCAATCGAATGTAAATTGGTTTGCCCGTTTTTTCACCTGAAGAAGAACCAAAGGTTCAAGAACATTAGTAAAAGACGTAAAAGTTGAATTAAGCACCGTTTTTGGTTTATGTTGGAAGTAAGTTTTAGAAGTTATGGTGTGTTGTGGATGTAATATTGTCATACTTTAAATACCATTCCAGATGCACAGCATATAAAGTGATGTGGATTATGTAATGGTTTAATTTTTATTATAGTGACTTTCTACAAGGTATTGTTGCTTTATGTGGCATATGCTGCTGCATGTCATCTGCATGATATTATGGTTATTAACTCCATCTTATCTAACATTACCTCTGCCTAAAAGTTTTGCAGGATTTCCAGAACCTCCGATATCTTCAGGTATGCAAACTGCCCATCTTGTACGAGAGTGGACATTATATAAATCTTGAGGATTTGTACCTATATCCATTGCTGTAACTTGAAATAAAATATTAATACTACTTAAATAGCATGAAGAATAAAAGTAAATGAAACTTAATATTAATTTTAATCACTAATAAATGTTATGCATTAAAAAAGCATTTCAAATGTAAATAAACATTTATTACATTTATTTTATTAATTTTAAAATTCTACTGTTTTAAGTCATATCATAAAATTGAAATAGTAGTATTAAGTAAATACATTTATCAAAACTTAATAGATATATAGTTTTCTGAAAATGAAATCACCAGAACAGTAAATTAATTAATTATCCACACTTTTTATTTTTCTCATTCTTTCCACATGTAAGAGAATTTAAGTTTCTAACTCTATGATCTTTTACAATTTGCCCTATACATATAGGACCAGCAATAAGTCTCTAAAAGCTTTAAAAATTCATAGTAACAATGAAAAAGCATTATATTGAAGTGTGACTTGCACTATAAGTGTTATTGGAATAGGATTCTTTTTGACAGAAAAAAAATCAATAAGTGGCACTGAAGGCCTACTTCATGCAATGAAAATGACTACTACATGTTCAATTTGTTTATTACAGCAGTAACTCTGATAGTAAGTATTTAATATGCCCTCCACCCAGTGGCAGATTTCTGCCAGGTGCACGAGGTGTGCACCTGGGGCCTCAGAAATCAAAGGGGCCTCAAAATTCACTCTCAGAATAAAAATCAGTAGTAAATTTTAAAATAAATTATTTTTTATATCCATGGATTACTAATTTTTTTGTTTTTAACACTTTTACCTGTTGAAACTTAATAATTCTTGTACCAATAAGTTTCACTTTTCATAATTAATACAATCTAAATATCAGTAACCTTTTAAATACAGTTAATCAGGTGCAGTTAGATCAGTACTTGCTATGTATTTATCGATGCCATAATGGGCTAGGGCCTCAACTAAATTCAGACTGTTTGAAGGGATCTTCCCCTTTCGTTCCATGTCTGCTATGGCTTCAGGGGATAGGTTGTTGTAGTCTATCCTGGTCAAGTACCGGTTCCAATATATTCCCTTGATTTTTAGATTAACAGGGGTCACATTGGCCAGAACCAACAAGGCATTTCTCGGTGCAGTCCTGTAGGCACTACAAATCTGCAGCATTGCTCTCCACTGAATGGAGAGAAGTTTCCTCTTTATGTATTCTTTGCTTGCTTTCTCACCCCAAATTTGCACTGCATATAGTAGTGCTGGCTGTAATGCTCCTTCATAGATGATATTGCTGTCTCTACTGTTCAATCCTCACTGGTTTCTGGCAATGTGACACAAATGGTTAGCCTTCTGTGTAACTTTTTTACACATCTCCTGTATGTGGTGGCTCCAACTAAGTGTAGAGTTGAAATACAGGCCTAAGTATCTGAGTTGAGAGACTATCTTCATTTTATTGTTGCTTATATAAATGCAGAGAGGCTGTTGAAGTTGTTTTCTCAATTGCAATCTAGAACAGACTAGAGCCTCACATTTACTGTAGTTAATTGAGAGTTTGTTATATTCACTCCAGTTATGTATTTCTTCCAAGATGTTATTTGCCTTCTTCTGTAATTTATCACTATTCCTGTGGGCTAGGAGGACCAGTGTATCATCTGCGAATCCTTATAGTCTGACATCTTCTTCTGTGATTAGCATGAGGAGGTCATTGTATACCAGGTTCCAAAGGCCAGGTCCACACCTGGACCCTTGGGGACAGCCCCTTGTCATTTCTTTTGTCACTTGAATGGTGCTAGTGATGACCCCCACTTTTCTGTGATTTAAGTAGCTCCTAGTAAGGTTGTAGATGTTGTTTGGAAAGTGAGTCCTTTGTAACTTGTTTAGAATGTTCAGCCACCAGAGATGGTTGAATGCCTTATGGAAATATATGCTGATCAAATAGAGAAGAATGATTGATTTTGTCGATCATTCTTCCATGCTCTCTGAATGAAGTCTTTTGCGCTTTGAGCAGCATCAATCATCAATCTTCCTTGCGAAGCCAAATTGGCTGTCATGCTGCTGTTTGTGTTTACTTAAGTGCCAAGTGATCCTTCCAATTAAAAGGCCATCCAGTACTTTCCCCATTGCAGGGAGCAAGCTGATTGATCGGTAGTCTTTGTTCAAGGTGGGGTTGACTGTTTTTGGTATGAATTTCACACTGGCCACTTTCCAGTGGTCTGGGAAGTGGCCAGTTGAGAGGCAGGAGTTAAATAAAATCACAAAAGCTATTGGCACCTCTTCGAAAGCTACTTACAGTTTCTGTGGTGATCCCATCAATGCCAGATGCTTTTTTATTAGCCAGGGTTTTCACTGCATTCCTCACTTCTGTGAATGAAAACTGTTTATCATTGTCTGTGCTAATTGGCCTGTCAGGTGTGTACTGCCTGGTCCTCCTCCCACCCATCCACACAAAAGTGGGTGTTCAGAAGGTCCTGTATGCTCAAATTAATATTATTGTCTGCATTGAAGATGTGTAGAATGTTTGCCTTTTTGATTCCTTTAAAAACTATCTGGTAGGAGTGGCTCCATGGGTTTTTGTTTTGCTGACTGTAGTATTCTTTCCATGATGTATTCCTTTATTTTCTTGTATTCTTTCTGCTTTTGTTGTTTTATCATCGCGCTCTGCTTGCTTTGTAGGTGTTGCCAACATAGTCTGACTTCTCTCTTCAGCGTTTTCAGGCTTCCAGTTCACCAGCGTGTGCCTTTGTGTGTCTTCCGCTTTCTAGTTGTAGCTTGGTCCTATTGCTCTTGACATTGTTTCAGTTAGTCTGTCGGCATATGTATCAATCTCATCTGGGGTGTTAAGCCTGGACTCCACATTACCGGAATCCGCAATGTAATCCTAAAACTGAAAGCCAAACTGACGAAACTTTCAGTTTTGTAACATTCAGTTGGACAGAAACAAGAGTGAAAGCAGAGTTAAAAATTATTTAACTTTTCCGTTTTCCTCCCACGCTTCTGTAGTACTGCAACCAATAAAAACGCAAGGATTTGTTACGCGTAGTCACGTGCATTAGTCACGTGTAGTTTGATTGTCGTAATGGCAGAAAGTGTAGTGAAAATGATGAGGAAACAAATAGATTTGGAATTCTTCATCGAAGAAGTTAGAAAATAAAATGTAAATAATTCAAAGATTATTAACAATTTCATTGTTAATAAATGCAGAGAAAGCATGGCAAAATCCATAGTGTCATCCATGTTTGACTCTACGACAATTACAGAACTGATCAACAGATGGCACATTTCTAGTGGTGTCAACTTAAAACAAAAACATAACTGAAACGAAAACTCTATATGTTTCAGTTCTGTTTCTGAGTTTCTGTTTTCAGGTAATGTGGAGTCCAGTCTTTAGGGAGTCTTAATTGTTGTGTTCTCCAACGTTCAGTGAAAGCATGCATGAAAAGGTCCCAGTTCGTTCTCTTTTGTGTAGTTGTTGTCGGTAGTAATTGCCTGGAGAATGCCACTTAATTCAGTGAGGATGTAGTGGTGGTCACTCGCTGAAAGGATTAGTTGTGTTTCACACCACTCTATGTAGCGGCCCATCACTGTGGGGGCTATGCACATGTTGATCCAACCTCTGGCCCTGCCTGTGAAAAAGGTAGGGATATCTGAAGTATTCAGTGACAAGCAATCATTTGTGTCTATCCAGTCACTCAGCAGTCTGCCCCTCTGATCCTCTTCTTTGTGGAACCACAGGGGAGATTTTTTTGTTTACGTCCCCAGCCACTATGTAATGCTTGCTAAAAGCTTTGATGATGCCTGGTTTTTAGCACCAAGAGAATATTGGTGCGGCATTTGTACTGTATAACTACCCATAAATTGGCCTTCAAGCTTGGACTGCACTGTACTGTCCCGCAGGCACTCCTGGCAATCACTAAGCACTAGAGCATGTTTATGAAGATTGGTTTCCTTGTGCCAAGACTATAGGCATTTACACAAATAGTACAATGGCTCTGCACTCCATCTACAGCTCTCACAACAGGGGTGCAAACATCCTTTGTATTCACCACTACTTAACTACCACACCCACAGCCACATGATCTATTTCAGGTGGGTCCGTGGGCAATCTGGTGTTTTGGGTAATGAGGCAGATGACCAGCTGGCCAAGCAGGCCGCTGCCTCCAATCTAAACCTGAGCTACAGCAAGATTCCCATCTCAAAAATAAAGCAGTGGACTCTAGAGCTAGCTCGTTTGAGTTTACTGCTTTATTTGCATTTTATTTGCTTTATTTAATGGCAGGAAAACTGAATAACAGCACAATGGGAAGAACAATGCACATCTTCATCCCGAATATCAGCAGCAGACTTAAATGGAAACACTTTGTTCCAAACTTCCTCATGACTCAGTTAATTACTGGTCATGGTAATTTTAACTCGTACCTGAAGAGGTTCCATCTGAGAAGCTCAGATGTGTGCCCCTGTGATAAAGTCTCAACGCAGGACAACCAACACTACTCGTGGGACTGAAAACTCTTCACAGAGGAGAGAACAAGACTAATGGGTCATGTTCTACTTGCAGGGAACAATTGGCCCTTCTGCAATAGCAGTCTTCTTGAAGATGAAAACATCTATTGACATCTGAACAAGTTTCTAACAACAACTGCAGCGCTCAACTCATCGCACAACAGCCAGCCACCAATGGTAATCGTCAATCTGTACTTACTGTTTAAATCCACTACTGCAATCACAAGAATTTCTCTTTCTGTGCCTAGAAATAGGTGTTTTTTGTTGTAACTCTGTTCCCCACTTTATGTATCTAGCCTATACTATCATTGTCAGGTACACAAAATGTACAAAATTATAGTTGTTTTGTAACATCTGTCTATTCTAACTGTACAAATATGTTATTGTGTTCGTTATATTACAATTCATCTTGATGTATTGGTTTGTTAGGTTTTTATGCTCCTATAATCAATTGCACAAAATATGTATAATTGACCTGGTTAGTCACCTATATTTGGGTTTGTTTAATTGTATTTATGTTTGTTATTTTCCTCCACATGTCGATACACAAATATGTATAATTACTCTGTTTTTCTTATAACAGCAACTGTTTGTCAACTATGTTTCAGTCTTCTGTAACAATTGCAT